GTCACTTTACAAAGATAATGTTAAGATTTTTCTGATGGGCACTTTGAGAGGTGATTGTTATTGTTAAGTCTAGTTGAAAGATTTTTGTCTAAACATGCTAAACATGCAAATTCAAGGAGTGTTTAGGATAAAAAAAAAAATGTACATGATGTAGAGTTAACATGATAAAGGGTACCTGATAATTTTGAAAATTTTGTTTACCTGTGAGGAATGGAATAAGTTCACTCCTGGTCCTTTCTACTCCTAGAGCAAGTGCTATTGTGGAGAGTTTCTTGATACTGTTAAGGCGAAGCTGAAACCAGAGTCAAGTATATATCTTACAGTATATAAGTTCTAAATGCTTAAATGCTGACTTTCCCATTAATCAAATAATTTCCAAACCTATACATGCTATAGAACATTGTCATTTCAATGATAGACTGTTCAATCTAGCACAAGTAATGCCCAGAAATAAATACACTCACTGTAAGGTCCTCTGAAGTTAGATATTGCAACATTCATCATGTTTATCATTCTTCATCATATACAACTTCTTTTAACTTCCTAATAAAGCCTTACCTACCATGTTTGCATTATGCCCATTACTGTAGCGGACAGTATACATATGAAATATGGATCTTATACTGCCTCACTAGAGCTAGCTTTTCCCATGTTTTATCATGTTTATAGTGATGCAGTCGAGTCTTACTGTATTTAAGGCAAGTTAAGCAAGGGTGAGCCTGTTTAACTGTTGGATGGGTGACTGCTTCACGTTACAAGTGGCAGTGTAGTGACTCGGGTGTTTGGTGACCTGCTTTAGAAAGAGTTAGTGCTAGGACATATTGTCCATTTACAGACTTGCTGTGGATGGCAGGGATTATTATAACTGAAGAGGTCCAAACCTGCTTCAGGAAGCTCTAGGTCTAGGACTTTGTATTCCGGAGCAGCATTGGTCGCTGTAATTTTAATTGAGGCCCTAGACACTCAGAAAGGATCAGGGGGTGTGCAATTACAAAAATAAACTACTAGCCCGTCGGGCTAGTGGGGGTAACAAAGTTACTAGCCCAAGGTTGCCAGTCACTAGCCCATTAACTACCGAAAACACGTCATGTATAAGTACAACATAAAGTTTAAAAAAAACATTTAAGTTGAAATAAATAAAACAAATAATGGTTTGTGCTTTGTAATTGTCAGGTACTTCCCCCTATTTATATCGACTATAATTGTCACTGAGACGACTAGCGATAGGAACACACAATGCATATAGGTTAAAAAGAATTAAAGATTATGATTTTACAGAAAAGTTAATTCATACCTCAATTCAGTCGAGGTAAATAATATATGTTTACTTTCGTTTTAGATTTACTAGCCCAACGGGCTAACGCAGTATAGATTTAAGATAGCCCGACCTCTAAAATTGGCAGCCCCGGGCGTTGGGCGATGGTAATTGCACACCCCTGAGGATTCATTGTAATTTAGACTGAAGCTTCCCTGAGTAGGGGGGGGGGGGGGTGTAGTGGCAGGGTATATGCTGTCTGGCTAGAGAGCTAGCCCTTTCTACTGATGCAGAACTTGAGAAGTCTTCCTCTTTTTGGAGGCAAATTAAGCAATGATGAGCCTGTATAACCCTCGAATGGGTGACCCGAGCCTACCCCTTAGGTTACATTACTTTTGGTAATTATAATTGTGCTATACTTATCAGAAACCTGCAATAATACTAAAACTAAAATATACATGACGGGATTGGTCAGTTTCCTTCATTTTAAAAGAGAAACATTCAACGTCGAGATTTTGGGTCGAGAAAGAAGTTTATTTGCAATTCCAAATTATTCATTACAAATGGCTACTTTGTAATCATACAATATACAGTAACAATATCTATTATTTATTGAAGCCGTGTGTATAATTCCTACAATGTATTGACAACCAGCAATTCAGAGGAATTCAGTGCCCAAAATAAGGCCGGATGGACATTTCTTTAGCATATAAAAGTTGAAGATGACATATATAGTAAAAACAAGTGTTTCTGTTATCAAAATACCTGGACATCCTCGTTTCTGAGCTCGTCTATTAACACAGCAATAGGATAGAGAGATTCGTCGGTCGTCTCGCTGGAAGCCATTTTGAATTGTAACAAATTTGGACAGGTCGCTTACACCAACGAAAATAAAAGGATTTTTTTTAATTCATACAAACATAATTGGAAATTATTTCAAAGGAATAATTAATAATATAATACATAATATTACACTCATGATTTATATGTAATATGATTTTCTTTTAAATTCTCTAAATCATTAAATCTCGATCCCGATGCAATTTCTTAAAAATTGCATTATTTCTTTCAAAAAAAAAAAAAAACTTTTCAAATAGGGCCTAGAATAAACTGATCACTTTAATATATGTACGATAAAGGAAGAAACAATATACGGAAAAAAAAATCACAATACAAATATTTTTTAAATATCAAATTAAATATATGTGCTACCTATTTTATTTTCAAATACAATTAAGTGAATTCAGATATTAATTAATTAATTAAAAACAAACTTGACTTTCTGTCAGAACTCAACATAATTGTTCTTATGCTTACTTATATCAGAACATAGAACATAGAATACAGAAATAAAAATAAATCTGACTTTATAAGCATCCCTGATAATGATTCATGAGAGCGTATGAGTCACCCATTGTCACTTTATTAACTGATATCAAGTAGGTTAAGGTTGATAAATGTGTACATATCATACCTTCGCGTTCTATCTATTTCTATAAATATACTATATATATTATATAGTAGATATACATTTGAAACACATATACTTGTAATTCTAAAAAATACCCCACTATACATTATCTCTTATAATGTATAGTGGGGTATTTTTTTGAGGATTGATTATTTTGGGGTTTTGACGATTTGTTCATATTTCAAACATGTTGAATAAGTGTACTAAATATAAATTGTAAAAAAAAATGTCAAATAAGCTTCGGGGTTGAATATCGGGGGGGGGGGGGGGGGGGGTCCTGTCCACAAGTACCTGTGTATCAGTGTTATAACTTTGTTGATGGGAATGAAGCCCAATAAATATATAGTGTCACTACAAATCCATAAAGTTTGTAGATAAAAAATATAGAAAAAGTCTTTTAATTTTTTTTTAATTCAAATTAAATATATATAATATATAGTGTCACGGGGTGGGGGTGGGGTTACAAATCCATAAAGTTTCGCAAAGATAGACATAATATAAGCATTGAAAAGTCTTTTGGTTTTTTTTTTAATTTGTTTCCGACGCCCATGGATTGCCTTTCATAAACGATTATTTTCTTTTTTCATTAACATTTAGTCTGGTTACAGCATGCGTCTTTCTCCTGTTGCGTTAACAGAATAATCGGTTTACCTTTTTAAACAAATGGATAGCATTATACATTAATATCAATGTATTTAAACTGCCTTTCATATGCTGGGACACTTATAATAAAGCATTAATTAAACACGTCTGTATAGAGACCATTCTGGTCAGTAAGATGCGGGATGGGGGGGGGGGATCTTTTTATTATTTTTAGCCAGTGTTTAGGTAAAACACAGAAAGTTGGAAACGTTTCTAATTACAGTAGTTTTACTCAAGGAGGAACACCGCTCAGGGTTGCATCCACAGAAAATAAAATTTCACACAGAATTTATATAGAATATCTTTAATGATATAAAGTGTAATGCAATCTCTCATCAGAGGACGTATTACGCTTCGCTACTAAAGTCAAAGAACGTTTGCACTTATGGGCCCCGGTAAAATGTAAAATAAACAATCAAATTAAGCAAAAATTTTCATCTCAAATCATTAATTGATATCTAAACCACACGATCCAGCAAATTTTACCGCTGAAATCCGCGAATATACAAAGAGCGAAACTATTCAATGTGGTAGGGGTCAGCCGACATTGGCTATTTTCTATAGTAAATCGAGAAGGGTCATTCATTTCAAAGCCTTTGTTAACTATGAGCCTAACGTTGTGCAAACTTGTGCGAATGACAAAAGATGCATATTACATTTATAAAACTTGTGTGAAAGTATGAAATTTGCACACGATTAGGCTCGTACTTAAAATATTAAAAATGTATAAAAATTACAATGTTTTTCCTATAGCAAGTGAGAGCTATTTACCTGTATGACCCATGTTGAACCCACGTGTTGAATAAATTATTTAAAATACTGATAGTCACGTGAGTTCTACCCAGGTAAACATTCCCCAAACGTGCTCACTGTAAAACATAGTGTTGGCGGTTTTGTTTTAGTAAGTCAAAGCCGTGCCGCTTAGAGATGTTTGTGTGTATTTGTTTTTAAAAACACGGGAGGGTAAGGAGATCTAAGTGTCGTTCATAAAGTGTCAAACATTTTTAACCTTCATGCAAGACAATGAAACAGGTAATGAAAAACCACCTATAACACTCCTTTTTAATTTCAAATTCAATGAAACTATTATTGTAATTTTTCAAATGCAAGAGTACCAATTTCTTCGTTTAATCATTTTAGATACAGGCAACTACACAACTTCATTCCATGTTTTTAAAAACCGGTTTGGTGCAAGAAATATTTTTCCGCAAACGCGCCCGATTATGATCCACCATCAGATTGTTCAAGTATCGATTTAAATATCTATTCCCTTGATTTACATAAATGAAACTAAAAGAGGGTTCGGTACGACTTTTCCGGATTTATAGGGTATCCATAGGCCTTTCAAAATATTCAATTGTTTCAAATCCATGCTGATTTAAGTGGCGCTTAACATGCTTTTTGATTAGAAATATCCACTAGTATCTAACTATTACCAATAGAGAACGATTTGGTAATATATTCTGAAACAAAATGGCACATAAAAAGGGCCCATTAAGTACTGCTTAAGTGCACTTGTCCTTTTAACACTCTGGGTAGGCCTCTAGATCAAGTCTATTTATTAAATTGTAGTTGAAGTCGAATATCTTTGGAACGAGTTGTCTAATTGTACGTCACAATAGTAAATATCACGTGACTTTTGGTGAAAAATGTCAACATTCGCTTTATTGTGTCAGGTTACGTTATGTCGATTGTAAAATTATAGGTATAAATGTTTAACTTTATTATATTTAATTAATTAGGATTCCACATTGCTGATTAGTTCTGCATAAATAGCATATTAATCATGTGTTAATGACACGCGGGAATCATGACTGGACATTTAATATTTAGATGTGCCCAGACATGTTCACCAGATTGCAAATCTTGTTAGGTATTAGAGACTTAAGTTAGAAAGAGAGAGGGAACATGGGATTTTGTGATTGAATCAAGTTTTTAATTTTTAGAAAGTGGATCATGATGTTACCGAGGGAGAAAATCGCCACCGTGGTGATTTTAGACCTGGAATGCACGGGACTTATAAACCCCGGGTCCAGGCCGAGGGTGACGGAGTTGTGTCTGCTGTCTGTCCAGCGGGAGGAGCTCCTGACCCCTGTAGGCTTACCCCGGGTCTGTAACAAGCTGGTCATGTGTATCAACCCCAAAAAGATGATCGACCCAGCAGCCAGCATTATTACTGGTATGTATAGAATGCATGTTGATGTAAGAAAAATAAATTTTTACTTGCAAAGAAAGCAAAAGTATATTTGCTTGAGTCAGTATAGATAGAGCTCGAATAATTAAACAGAGAATTATCATACAGAAATAATTGTTCTGTTCTCAACAGGTTTATATAATGATGCATTGGAGGCCCAATCTCCCTTTGATGATGACACCATCACTTCTATTTCACATTTTGTTTCAAGACTTCCTCAGCCTATATGCCTGCTGGCTCATAACGGAAACGGATACGACTTCAAAATTCTGAATGCTGAGCTCAAAAGAATCGCTCGTAGTCTACCAGGTGAGATTTACTGTGCTGATTCACTGGAAGCACTTCGTGCTCTGGATACAGAGGCGGCGGACATGTTGTCAGATCCAGCACAAAATACCAATAATGGAGCTTCATCTGCCACACCCGTAGGACAGAACATTCCCGAGGTGCCGGAGCAGGTCATAGATGTCAAAGGTCGAGTGAGACAGAAAAAACGCAAATGTGATGCAGACTTTGACAGAGTTCCCATTGAGGCCAAATCTGTACGAAAAAGATTATTTGACTCTGCAGGAAAAAAAGATGATGAAAAAAGTGAAGATTCAGTCAACCTGAGAGGACATAAGCCAATAGGATCAAGCTTGAAAATGTCAGCTGAGGTTGTAAGTAAAAGAAATACATGTGACATTGAGTCAGTGAAGAAGAGGCTGAGTTTTGATGATGATGACGATGATGAGGAAGATAAAGAAGATAAAGATGTAGAAATGTCCGACAAAGAAGAAAATCACAATCCGTCAGTAGTAAATAGAAATGTTGACAGTCAGCACACCATTCCTGCTTCTCAGGGGAGTCTGCCCGACGATGATTTTCTACAGGCTGTGGAGAACATAGAACACTCACAATTAGAATCTCACACCAATATAAACAGCGAGACTCCTGTATGTCCATTAAAACCCTCATACTGTGTAACTCCTAAGGAACAGACTATCAGTGTGTTAGCTAATTGTGAGGGGCTGTGTACCCCTGAGACTCCGTCCACCAGCGGCCAAGCCTTCCCTACCATGTCCACCCCACAGAAAGGCCCGTGCCTTACCCCCAAGAAAGAACATTGTATCACCCCACAAAAAGAGCAGTGCCTGACCCCTATGACAGGTCTTGTGCGCTCGACAGCAGCATTTCAATTAAATACTCCAGTCAGGGGAAGAAATGAAGCATCTAATGGAGACCCAGGAAAAAGATCCATCCCTAATGGAATGGCCTGTCGTTCACTCTTTAGATCCACCACTGAAAATGGAGCATCAGGATTCAAACCAGGTTTTTCTCCTGCGTCGCAATTTCCTCCGAGGGTATCATACAAACTTGGTGACATTTACAGACGAATCTTTGGACAAGATCCGGTCAATCTCCACAGTGCGGAGACAGACTGTGTCACTCTGATGAAAATTATCAAACAGCGATCTCCAGCATTTATACAGTGGGTGGATGAGCACGCTGTTTTGTTAACCTCTATACAACAAGCTTATTAAGTATTAAGAGTGTTTAAAGTTTGTGTATTTCTGAAATACTTGTTTGTTATAATTGTGTATAAGGAACAAATGAAGTAGATTGGATATTTCAAGACTTTTGAATTAAGTATCGTTAACCTTTATACAAGATTTTTAGATTTTTAAATATTTTTAAGCTGAAGTATTTTTAGAATATTTTACTTTTATTGGTTAACAAATGGTGTCATATTGTTTGAATGTTTTAACATTGCAGAAAGAAGTATCATGTGATGTCACCTATATATAACAACCTCATTAGATTTTAAATACTGTAGACGTACTTTTTTCCACGAGGTCATAATTCCGCGGAATCTCATTTTCTGTTTAATCCACGGGTAGAAAATTACGCGGATTTTCTTGACTGTCACTATATGCCTTACATTTAAATTAAATATGCTTGGACAAATTTCCGTGGATTATCTGTGACCGCGTACATAGTGTAAATTAATACCACACGGAAAAAAACTCCTACAGTATTAATATGTGTGTACTGTTGGAATATTTTGAATTCTTTTCTGATCAGATGACCTGATTTTATGTGAACAAAAGTATTTTTCATGTTTTTGAATGAAGTATTGTACTTCCATTTTTTTATTTGTTTATTTTTAGATGACAAATTTATTTTACAAAACTTTTTAATCAAGCTGTTGTATTTTACTATCTTCAGGCATTTCTGGTTTTGTTATAGATTTTTTGATTCCAATAATTGGAAATATGATCTGGATATTGTTACATGATTCAGTGACAGTCTTTCACCGAGTTGAGACTTTTGATTATCCATGTCAGCTGGGTATATATATTAAAATATCTTAAGAATTAAGATATTGTCTAGTTAGGACTGCTCGGCTCCTTTTAGTTACGTTGTAGGTCAACAGGGAATGGTTTGTTTGATGTACTCACCCTGCCTGATTCAATATTATATGAAACATTTTAACTTATTTTTGAGCAGCATGCAATCCAGCATAAAGATTTATACCATATAAGTTATGAAGAAAATTACCTTCCCCTCCCCAAATTTAAAAATATTGGGTCAGAAACTCAGAATACATCAAACAAAACATTTACCCGGTACATAAATGTGTTAATTTGGTTAGATTTAAGTTATGTAGATAACTCTGTAAACAGTAGAAAGGATTGTTACTTGTCTTTTTATAAAGTCAGTATAGAATATAGACATGTTAGACTAGTCATTGATGCCTTGTTATATTAAATTTTTGATTATTTTAGTCACATTTCACCACAACTACTACAAAGCAATCACCTGTATATCAATTCAACAGGCTTATATTTTTTATATTTAAGAAAAGAATATTTGTAGCTCTAGACTTAAGAGATTCATATTTATCTTGCACTTATACAAATTTTTAACATGTATTGAATATTTTGTTTTGCTATTGATATTTTTAACTTTTTTAAAGAATTATTTTTTCCCCTTTAAACTGTTATCATAATAATAGTTGCATTTATCATGAGCAAATGAGATTTAATTGAAGAAAAAGAAATTCCTTAGCTCAGTTCGATTTACCTATTGTGCGACTAAGCATGTTATGTCAGGTATTTAGATATCCATCCTGTAAGCTATAGATGAGAAACAATGAGAATTAATCAGATTTGTTTCACACCTGGAAAGCTATTTTTAACATTTTTATATAAATGATTTAACTATTCAGGCCAAGTCCTTTAAGTCTGTGATTTTATTTTTCACTTTTTAAGTACATTCAGGGATTTTTTACTTGACTAGGAGCACCATGAAAGGCTATTTTTAGTTAAATGGAGTGTTTTGATTTAGTGAAAGATTTACTGTTTTGATTTAGTGTTTTGTTGTCTGATCTGGCGTGAGGATTTGGAATGATTGATTTTTTGGTGCTGCAGTCCTGCATTGTTTTCAAATCACTGTTGAAATGAGAGTTGAGTGTTTTGAGTCACTGTTAAGTTTAGTGTATATAGAGATGTAAATATCACTTAATTTATTCCACCGTTACTGGGACCAGACACAGAGATAAAGACATTTCTGTTGAGAATAAATTGTTGAAACAAAGATTTTCCTTTTTCTTCTACAATTCATACACCTTCCAATATTAATGCAATTTTTGACAAAATGATGTCTGTAATAGCCTTGGTCTACCTTTTATTTGCTCACCTGAGCCGAAGGCTCAACTGAGCTTTTCTGATCACATTTTGTCCGTCGTCCGTCCGTCTGTCTAGCTGTCTGTCTGTCCGTCTGTCTGTCTGTAAACTTTTCACATTTTCAACTTCTTCTCAAAAACCACTGAGCCAATTTTGATCAAACTTGGTACAAAGCATCCTTGGGTAAAGGGGAATTCAAATTGTTAAAATGAAGGGCCAAGGCCTCTCCCAAGGGGAGATAATCAAGAAAAGACAAAAATAGGGTGGGGTCATTAAAAAATCTCCTCAAGAAACACTGGGCCAGAAAAGCTGAAACTTATGTGAAGCATCCTTGGGTAGTGTAGATTCTAAATTGTTCAAATCATGACCCCCGGGGGTTGGGCAGGGCCACAATGGGGAATCAAATTTTTACATAGAAATATATAGGAAAAATCATTAAAAAAATCTTCTCAAGAACCACTGGGCCAGAATAGCTGAAACCTTTGTGAAAGCATCCTGGGGTAGTGCAGATTCTAAATTGTTCAAATCATAACCCCCAGGGGTTGGGCAGGGCCACAATAGGTAATCAAAATTTTCCATAGAAATATAATTATAAGAAAAATCTTTAAAAATCTTCTCAAGATCGAATCACTGGGCCAGAAAAGCTGAAACTCACATGGAAGCATCCTGGGGTAGTATAGATTCTAAATTGTTCAAATCATGATCCTGGGGGTTGGGCGGGGCCACAATAGGGAATCAATGTTTTACATAGAAATATATAGGAAAAATCTTCTTCGCAAGAACCACTGGGCCAGAAAAGCTGAAACTTATGTGGAAGCATCCTTGGGTAGTGCAGATTCTAAATTGTTCAAATCATGACCCCCAGGGGTTGGGCGGGGCCACAATAGGGAATTTGAATTGTCCAAATTAAGACCCTTGGGGTACAATGGGGTCATAATAGGTATTACAAGGGGAAATCTGGTTAAGAATCACATGGCAAAGCTTCTCAGGTGAGCGATTTGGCCCATGGGCCTCTTGTACTTACATACAAGTGTAATTATAAATTTATAACTGGGAAGTGGGGTTAGACCTAAATAGATCTATCATTTCGTCAGCCAGGAGTTGAAGTGTTGGGATTACAATACAGGATAATTATGCTTTGTTGTTGTGAAAAGACAGAACTGATCGAGTGTGTTCATATTTGTCTGATAAATGTTGGTCTTACCACGTATATTGGGTTAGTGTGACCACGCGAGCAATAACGTTAAAATGGGTCGGGGGAAGGAGGGATTGCACGTAAACTTAATCAACAGTTTTCCTTTTATGATTTATTAGACATCCACCACCTTGAAAGACAAATCACGTTCATTTATCTCATTGCAGCCCGGAGGACCGGGCTGCTCTATACTTGTAAGTTTATGTGTTGGTGTATGGTGATTGGGGTGGGAGAAGTTATTGAGAATCAATGTTTTTCTAAACATTGAAAAGATCGTTAATCAGAACGTTCTTTCCCCTTCTAAATTACAAGATACATAATATACTTACTTACATAAAGTGAATATGTAAAAATGAATATGTTTTACATATTTAATATATAAAGTTTCTTATCATTTACTATCAAAAAACCGACAGATCCCTTTTTTTAGAACATCGAATTTTACCTCTCGCATAAAAACGCACTCTGCATAGTTCATGTTTTATATCCTAAAATTGGAAAATAATACATTTTTGAATATAGGTGATGCATGTGTCTAACTTCAATTTATATTTTATACAGCCAACATAAATTACATGAGGAATTCATCAAGTTTAAAATGGTACCGTTTTTGTTTGATTTTTGATCGCCATCAATTAGACGCATGCCTTTTCACACATATCAAAGCGGTTTGATGATTAAGACTCATTTCCATTGTATACTTTATATATTTCCCGGGCGACAATTGATGGTTACATCAATGTTTACTTGTTGTCTATAAAAATAACACGAGAGATGCATTATTTTCCAATCAAAATAATCATTGTCGTGTCCAATACACCTGACATTTGATAATGAATAAAAAACGAACATGTGTTTCTCATTATGACATTCTACTTTGACTTTAGTTCTTGTAGTGATAATGTATGGGATTTTTTTCTGAAAGCAATAAGATAATGATTAGGCAAAAAGAATATATTTTGCCCTGGACTTACCTAAATACGTGATAATATTAAATACTAGTACAGTGAGGTTGCCAATAACGAATCGCACCCGTTAACGAATCACTTTCAGATGAAAATTCTGTATTTTTCTTATCAAAGTCCAATACTTAGCTTAACCTACCCTGTCATGCTGAATTATTCTTGCTTTTATCATTTATCATGAAATTATTAAATTCAACACGTTCAATGTCCTTATTTTTAAATAAACATGAACAAGCTTTTTTGTGACGCTGACCAGAAGCGTACATGCAAACAGACTACTTTCACTTTTCGGCACCGCTCCAATGTGAATCGTACATTCTAGGAAAATAAATTTGGTGCAGATGTTTAATAAAATTATGTGTCTAAAAGCACCGAAAGCGTCATACAATTTCTAAATCAGAAATTAATAGTATTCGCTTTAAAGTTGGGGGTATTTAGGTTTCCAATAACGAATCGCTGTTTCAAGAAATATGAGATGCAGGGATCCTGTCCAAATTATAATTTTTCTTATGCGGTATTTTGCACAGCAGTTACAGTAAAAAACAACAACAGAAGATGTCTACCAAAAGCGTAAAATAAAGGTGGTTAAAATACACATAAACAAAATCAGCAGCCAAAATCAGTAAGAAGTGCAGAGCATGTGGATTCGAGAATGTCTCCCGGTGGTATATATGTGCATGTAAGCTAATGTGAAGACACCGACGATAGCGAAATAAAAATCGTCATGATTACCAAACAAATTTAAGATTTAGAATTTTTATTTATTTATCCCTTTGCAATTTAAACTTCCCTACTAAATCATTATTCCCAACAATACCCCGTTTGCAGTTTTCCTATTCCCTAAAAAAATTATTTCCAATAATCAATTTTTATTTCTTGTCATGAGCAAGCTCGTATAATATAAAATGCATATTGCTAACAATACTTTTTCAATTCAACATCAAGCTAAATAAATTATAAACAGAGTATTATGATACCCCCCCCTTTTCAACATATACTAGTTAGTAAACATTTGATTTTTACACATTGAGAAAATGATATGCAGACTGCAGCCTTTTGCCTATATGGAATATATGCCACCACTGTCTTCACGTAAAAGGGAGAAAGAGCACTGTGAAAGCAGCTAGAGGAGAATGAGCTGTCTTATTCATTTCTATAGAGACGATGGACAGTTGAAGTAGACCCATATAAAGTGAAAGGACAACCTCCAGTATTTAATAAATCGGAATACTGGTATTTAGTCTACTGTGGATGTTTGAATGGAGAAATCCAGCAAATGAATCCCAACATCATTATTTGTAAAGTTGTCTCTGCTCATTGGAGGAAGGTGTTGGGATCGACATTTTGAAAATATAATTGTTCCTTTCAGCTTTATATAGGTATCTCTAAAGCCAGGCTCGTAGGAGGCAATTTCAGTTGGTGGGAGAGGGGTGCAGAGCCATGCATTTGCAGTTTAGGAGGCACTATCAACCACTAAAATTCCTTGACAATTAATTAATCAAGCATAAAAAGGTCATCTGACTTTTTTTTTTTTTTTTTTTGAGGGGGCACAATCATATATCTAGCGATATATTTTCTATCTAAATAGCAACAAAATTATGGGGAGGGGGTTTGGTAGCTCAATGAGTACAATTTTTGAATCAAAAATGAATTCTTCGGCTGTTTGCAGTTCATCACATATAAGTTTTTACGTCCTCTTATATCAACTAGTCATTTGTTTTCCCTTTGATTTCATTGTTGTTGTTTTACATTAATTGTCGGATGCAAACAACTCAAAAAATTCCTAGCTTTTCTACTTTTTTGGGGGGTGGGTGGGGTTTGAAATATTTTAAGGCATAGTAAAACGTTACGTAAGAAGGGTATTTTTAAATTTACACGGTCCCGAACCAGAATAATCAGCTTTATGTCACGTGATTCGGTAATGGAGAAAATGATCCGGTAAAGGAGAAAACGTCATTAATACAAATACAGCGATAATTTTTTATTTAATCAGTGGTTATTGGGAAAATATATATGATGTTATAAGTAAAACATAGTACCACCAAACAATGTTGTAAAATGAATTTAACTCAAACTCAGGTACGAAATATCCAAGCAAATTTACTAAGTGATTCGATAACGGCAACCTCACTGTACTAGTCGCTCAAACAATCAATTTATATACTAGTATACATGTATTAGGGTGTTCAAGAAAAGAAAATGTGCACAATAGGCCCTACAACTGTCAAACATTTCTTTAAAAAAAAATTAGACCGGGTGAGTGGTCAAAGTCACAGAGCGACCTCTCCGTACCGCGTAACAAGTAACAAGTCCAAAATTCTAAGCTGAGGAAGACATATTATATTATTTCTGGTGACGGACATTTTCACGGGACATTAATTTTCCTTTGTTATAATTAGCCAATTCCTCCATTTAGACCCATGTTTCTGTCATATTTTTACGAGAATTGTGTGACATCTTAACTTAATATTCTTAAACAATTTGTTCTAGGTTTCTAGAAGTGTCGTTTTTCTAAATTAATTAATTATTACTAATTAAGATACCCTTAGAAGTCCTTATGTTGTTATTTTGGATTTAAGGTTTGAAATAATGTCCTGTCATATTTATAAATTGTATTAGGTGATTAAGAGCGTAAATCTGTTTTATTCAAATGTTACTATGGTTACTCTCAATATATATAAAGTCTCTAATATCCCCTGTAATTTTGCTTTAAGCCGCAGTTTGTTACAACAGAAGGTAAATTAAACTATTTTGATTATTCCTTCCTTGATTCTTTTATACATATTTTACAAAATTACTATAGGTACATATAAAACAATTCAAAAGTAAATCTGAAAAAAATCTTGAAACTAATTTCAGAGAGATCTAAAAAAAGAAATCATATAAGAGTTTTCTAAACAATTAAGAAGTGGGCACTCAAAGAACATTAAATTTTACTACGTTCTTGTATTTTTGGCACTATTTTCCTTTTTAAGAAAGTTTCACAGTAAGTAAATTGTTTCTAACTATTTTTTTTCAATTCTTCTTAGGAGTCATGTTTCTCATTGTTCTTTGCACGACACTGGCATCAAGCTTGCCCCAGGTGCAAGGAGGTTGGTTTCATGGTTTACCCACTAAACCTGATGATTTATCCAAAGGGGTATCGAAGATAGACGATTTAGGAGGAAAGAAATCTTACTTTCCCGCTGAAGATGTTAATGGCGGATCTAAGAACTATTATATTCCTGGGCAAACTGGACAATACCTCGATCATTCTGGTCAGAATGGACAATACTTTGGACACGGTGAGTCAAAGCCTTATTATCCTACCGGACACACTAATGGAATCGGAGATACTCCATATTACCCGACGTATCCCACAAAATCTCACGAACCAACATCTTTGACAGAAGCAGTATACCAACCACTGAACAAACAAAATGGAGGATATCCGTACACAACAAACCCAAAGGACAGCCAGTACCGTGTTTACCCTGGTCTGTACTACCCCGTCAGTCCTAAAGGAGGGTACTTCCCCGATAGTCATACAGGAGGGACAGGAAGTGAGGGTCATCCCGCAGGAACTCCAGGAGTTAAATCCCTGGAGCTGAGTATAGACCAGGCAGGAGGAAGTCAGGACCAGGGGAACAAACTAAACACATACCCAGTCTACCCGGCAAGTTACAGCAGTGGTTCTGGTGACCATGGAAACAGTGGTCAGTCCGTCTATACACCATCAACCTCCACCTATCAGACGTACCCTGGTGACAGCTCCGGAATTTATAGTCACAATAAAAACAGCGGAGGGGATCAACCAATTACATACCCGGTCTATCCAACAAATGGTTTTGATAAAGACCATGGGGGCAATGGCGGAGATCATTATCAGCCGCCTACTAACTTATATCAGATCTACAAGAGTTCTCACAACCAAGGAAGTGTCCCTAATGACAATGGGAAAACTGATGGCCTTGTATATCCACCTCAAACTAATACGTATCCAATATATGGTAAAAGTTATAACCTGGGCAGTGCTCATGGCGACCTTGGAAACAATGGGGAGTCTGTAGTCAAACCTTCTCCTGACGTCTATCCGGTCAGCAGAAAACCTTACAATGTAGCCAGCCAGTATCAAATTTATGGAAAAGGTCTTAGTGGTGAGTCTGGTGATCTTGGAAATAAAGGAGGACATATTAACCAGGCTGCCGGATCTGGTTTTAAACCTCAATTCTATGGAGTAGTTCACGGTGCTGAACCTACACAACAACATGGAGGTAATGGCGGGAATACATTGTCAAAAGGAAGTGGAGGTGTCCTGTCTTCGTACTTCAAAGGAATTTCCGGCGGATGTAGCAGCCACGGAATCTTACCAGACCATGGGACTGCACATTCCTCTGGAACCGCCTCCTACTATCCAAATTATCCAAAAACAGGATCAATTGGGCTTCCAACAGTTGGGGAATTAGAGAAAACTGCTGGAGAACTAGGCAACTTTCCTTCCTCACATACCTCTGGTTTATATCCAAGTCTACATGGGATAGATTACAAGCAATATTATCCCGTGTCTCAAGCCTCCAGTAATGGTCACGAAAGTAGCCCCACGGAAGACGGTGGTTTACAACTCATTGATGATTTCAAAAAGTATTTATCAGGGGCATCTTCCAAGACCGACGACGCCTTTGGACATGGTGTAGTGGCATATCCAAAGGAATCTGGGAAAACTGAATTCGAAAAGTTTGGAAGTACTTCAAAGTATCCAGAAGAAGTGAAGGTTTGGCAGTACTTTAACGGGAGGGGCGGATTCCAGGGAGGCAAATACGG